CCCCAAAACCCCAAAACCCCTTGCTTATTGGATAATTAGTTTATTGATGAAATAAAGAATTAAGGCTATATCTTATATCTCTGGGATTAAATCAATCATGCAAGTTCAAATCCAGCATTGGAGTTAATGGCATAAAGCACTCTCTGCTTCATAATCTTAGCATTAGAGTAAGGTGGCAGTCTCAGAATGTTGAAGCATGTGCTAGAAGTGGGCAGCTTCTCATCAGGATTGTCACAGTCCATCTTGGATATCGTGAACTGAGGATGCAGACTAGCGAATCCCATTAGAGGTTGTCTAGGACACGAGGTTACAAACTTGAGGAGTTTGCTTTGCTCATCAGGATTCAGTTCAGTCTCTACGAGTTTCCAGAACATCTTAATTCTTGAGTCAGAAGCACCAAAGCCTCCAATGTACTTAGTGTGCTTCTACAGATCTTTGACGTTGATAGTTTGCTGGGCACCTGATACCAGCATCTGCATTTCCCTCTCATTGAATATCTAAAGCCACTGCAAAGGAATTATCTCGTGGAATCCTTTAACAAAGGCATCTGCTTAAGCCTTGATTCTGCGATTGAGTCTGAAGTCTGCTACCATATAAATGTATCTAAATCTGTTCTAATTAGTGACCGTGATGTTAGATCCATTTGGAATGAGGTCCACTTCTCTACGCTCTCCTGTAACCTCATTTTCATCGGTCACGCTGAATGATAAGCAAAGATCCTCCACATTACCTTCATATGATCTCATTTGAACCAGAGACTTATACAAGGCAGGATCAAGTGACTTTAAGTCATTTAATGAGTTCTGCTTCCCAATTAACTTCCTTAAGAAGAAATCCGCGAACTTGGGTTCAAGCGTAATACCCTCATACATAGCCTTTCCAAGTAGCTTGCCAAGGAAATTGAAGTAGTTGGTGTCATTCTTTCCAAACAATAAATGAGACTAGGCATTTGGATACAGTTCTTTTTCATTCTCAGTAATGAGAAACAGTCCATAGTTGGGGTTGAACACGATCTGAGCGAGATTTACTAGGAATTCCTTGAACAGACCACCGGCATCCATTCCTTCCTCTCGCATTCCCATTTCATTTATGAAGACCACACCTACAATACTTTTGAGATTGTTCACTTTGCTGAAAGCTTGATACCCATCGAGGAAGAGCTGAGATCTTCTGATCTGGACTTGAACCTTCTGCACATATTGGTTTTTAGATACATCAATCTTAATGGTCTGCTAGAAGAGGGTTGCTCTCACATCGAAAGGAATGCATTCCGGCATGTACATAATGATACGCTTGATCTCAGGACTGAACTCCTAAGACTTGAGGATATCTTACCATTTAATCTCCTTAATGTCCCAAGCACTTGGATCAATATAGTCTTTAATTGCAAATTACTCATGAAGTAGTTTGAGTAGCACACTACTAGAGTATAGCACAAACTCGTCCAGCATGTTTTGATGCTATTACTTATTTTCTACGATCAGGTCAATGATAAGTGATCTGAGTAGGCCAACCATGCCCAGAACATCTTTTCTCTCAAAGTACTAATTCTTCAAGAAATCTTCAAAGCTTGTAACCCACAAATTTCTTGTGAAGGCAAGGCAGAATAAACTCAATGAATGGATAAAGGCGTTATACTAATCATATTCTCTTACATTTCTAACAAGCAATGATTCGATGCCGCAGTATACATCTATGAATTTCCACAGTTTATACAGTACTGGCTCATTAAAAGCTATACCAAGAATGATCTGCTAGAAGACTCTTTGAGAATTTTTGGATATCATTAGAATAGTGGAATAAATCTTAGTGAGAGATATTGCAGCCTAGGGATTGAAATGGTCTTCGAATATTGAGTGCTTGCTGTTGACATTTTCTCCGAATATGTGGCCAAATATCTTTGAGGTGGTTTTAAAATCTAGAATGGCAGACAGTTGATTTCTAAGTATAGTTGTCATTATGTAATCGTCGATGGAAGCATTATCCAAGTCAAATATCCTCTTCCCCAAATGCTGGACTGTTGATTCTAGGCACTGCAATATTGGGTAGACTTCGAAAGTAGTCATTTCTGAAATCAGCTTAGAGTGGAGTAGTTCAAATATATTAGCAAAGATAAACATCTTGCGCTCATCCTTCTATAGTTCTCCAATAAGATTCCCTTGAGAGTCCTTTTTGAACTCTTCTTTTTCCTCCTCATTCATGTCCACCTTTTTAGAGTAGTAATACGATTGAAAGATGTTTTTGAAATTCAATGGCTTTGGCATAAATGCTAATTAAGGAATGATGTACTTAAGAATAGTTGGAATAGATAAAAACTCATGAACAAATGAGTACTGCATCCCAACTGAAAGATCATAAGTACTATCTGTCAGAATTAGAGAGGAAAGCATAGTCAAAATAGTCTTTGCAGACATTAAGATCATGTTTTTCTTCTCCTGAGGGATTGATTCAAAAGCAATATGTAGTTCTATTCTGCTCATTGTCCATATTCTGAATTTATCTACAAGCCCATTTTCTAGATGAATATCCCCAAGCATCTAATCAAATAATAATTACTCTTTACTGTCAAGTAGCGTCGATTTAGATGCCATTACATCTCTTAGAAAGCTCATTATACTTCCAGATTTGTTGTCAAATTGCATGACAAGGACTGTTTATCGTAGAAATTCTTTGAAGTTTCTTAACCCCACTTAGTTTTGCTCAGGAGATTTGAAAAATGTTGTAATAATATTTGTTTCTGGCTTCTCAAGGCCTCTCTAGATCCACTTGCAGAGACCCTGGACAATATCGAAGTGCTCATTTTGCTTCTTTTTCCTCATTATGCTAGGCCATCTTCTAAGTCTAATCATGAGATTAAATGTTCTAATAAGTATCATCAGATTCTTGACTGGCAGATAGAATGTCTAGTTTTTAGACATTAGTAGGAGTTGACTAAGTTTATCTATATCTGCCAAATTTTTAGTCAGCTCGGCCTTGTACTGCTTTCTCAAGTTCATTCTAGCTTTATGACCCAGTAGATACTTTTGCACGATTAAAGCTTTCTCTTCTTTTTACTTGTTTACTTTGATCTGCTCCTTTTCCTCCTTATATTTCTCAACTGCTTTTTTGGGGTTATGCTGAGTGCTCTTAAGATTTGAAAACAAGAAAGAGTTGTCTTTTCTATCCATTAAAATAATAATCTTTGAATTAGAACAAATCTTAATGAAAATAAATGCTTAAGAAATTCTATTGATGGGGTTTTGGGGTTTTGGGG